GTCGGCAGCTGACCAGTCAAGGGTCGCCGACGGTCGGGGTGTGCAACACTGAACACATCTGAAAACAGGAGCAGAAACAGATCAAGAGCAGTGACGGAGACGGAAACAGATGGAGGCAGGCGTGGAGTGTGTAAATGATGTGAGGGACGCTGAAGCGGCTGAATGTGATTTTCAGCTATAATTAAAGCCACCTCTTTCCTGAAGAAAAAAAAGGAAAGAGAAGCGAATCTGGAGAAGGAACAGACGAAGAATCAGAAACAGGAAAAAGAGTAGAGGAAGGATTCAGGACCAAGACCAGGAACCAAGCCAACTTGCCCGTGGAAAACATAGCCAAATTCACATGGACAAAGAAAGGAACAGAAACGGAACCAGAAACAGAACTGGAACAGAGTCACACCCAAAACCAGCAGCAGGCAATAAACTCACTTCCTCAGTACCTGTTCAAAACAGACGCAAGGTCAGGTACTCTTTAAGTTGCATCAGGGCTTGAACCGTGAATCTCTGGGTACTATGGTACTACTACTACCGTCTTCCTCTGCATAGAACGCCTCGTCATTATAGCTGCATTCAGGCCAACTTCCAGTCTAGATACGGAAATAATGAATGGGGCATTCTATTTGGGTGAAGACGGTAATATGACTATTGTCCCCGTCTGGCACAAGCTATGCTGAAGCCGAGCGGCCACTGACGATGGGAGAGGAGCCCTTTTCTTCTTCTTTTTTTTGATTTTTTTTTGGAAAGATGGGAGAGAAACCGAGACTTACTCGTAGAAGAGAAATCATTCACTATCGTGTTCCGCCATCAAACGGACTCTCGGCGGAATGGTCCACTTCGCGTTTGAGAAACTCTTTCTGGTCCAACTCAATCGAATGAGATTTGTTAACGGGCACGGCCTTGGAAACACTTTTTGATCCAACTCAATCGATCGAATGCACGACCGTTGATCAAGGGCACCCACCCCTTCAAAGCATATGGCTTTTCCGTCTCCTTTTTAACTGACTTTTCATTAAATTTGAAATATTTTGCGCGCATGACTAGGCTACCAGCCAGGCCGCCCGGGTTGCCTTGTTTTCCCGGGCGGCCCAGGCGTGCAAGGACCAGGGAAGGTCCAAGCAAGTAAAAAAAACGAAACGAAAAAAAAAAAAAACGAAAAGAAGTTTAAGAAAGTTAAAGAAACTATCGTATGCACAAAAATAAACTGAACAAAACTTTTTTTTTTAATCGGGTCCAGCGTCCCTCACATGCCACAGCCTTACGGAGCTGAGCGAGGCACTCCTGGCCAAGCCTATCCCCAACCGCTGCCTGAAAAATGCACTGACATGGATGGTCAGACAGGGTCACATCGACATTCTTTACCACATTTAAAATACAAAATCAAATAAATATATATATATCGTCAAATAGAACTGCCCGGTAAACCGTAGGCAGAGAGGGAGAAGAGGACAACAAACGAGGGGATGTGACAAACTGTTTCGTCAGAGTTTCATATAAATATAATATATATATACGATATATATATATATATGACGATATATATATATCGTCACAAATAGAACTGCCCGGTAAACCGTAGGCAGAGAGAGAGAAGAGGACAACAAACGAGGGGCTGTGACAAACTGTTTCGTCGGAGTTTCACCGACTCATCAGGA